GCTGTGCTGTCCACTGTCCAACGTCTGAGGTCGCTTCCCAGACCCCAGCTGGTGCTTCACCATGGCCTCTGAGGGTAAGCTATGCAGTCTTCACCGCACACACTCTGTAGGATCAAGTTCCACGTGGATTGGAGATTTAAATATAAAAACTAACCCTACAAGTACCACAAGAAAAGATGGGGAAACTGTTCTGTAACTTGGCAGTGGGAAAATTTTATCAACCATAACTCAAAAACCAGAAGTAAGAAGAGGAAAAGTTGATAAATTAAAAAGTACATCTTTGCATAGCACAAAAAATGAACAAAGTAAAGAAAAACAACTATAAATTGGAAAAATAATTGTTGCTTACATCACAGATAAAGAATTGCTACCCTTATACACCAGGAACTAAAAATAAGAAATATGCAAACTGTCCCATATGAAAATAGGCCAGTTCATGGAAGAATTGCAAATAGCTCTTAACCTATAAAAGGGTTATCAACTTCACTTACACTAAACAAATGCAAATCAAGTTGCTCTCTAGTGCAGTTCTCAACCACGAGACTGGCAAAAATACAGAAGTTGCTGGCGTTGCTCTGAGGAATGAGGTGCTGTCCCACTGTGCTGGTGGGCACACAATGAGGCATGGCTGAGGGGGGTGGAGCAACACCTAATAAAACTACATATGCAGTAGTATAGTAGTTGGCAAAGATACAAAAGCAAACTACAAAAGATACTAATTGTAGCTTCTTTTCTTGTAACAGCAAAAGTGAAACATAAATTTCCATCAATAGGAAGCTGGGTAAATAAGTTAGAAAACTTCCCACAGCAGTATACTGTGCAGCTGTGAAAAGAAAGAGAAAACATCTCCATGTACCATTGTGAGGCCCTTCTGGACTGACTGTGCTGTTGCTTGGACCTGGTGAGTGGCCCCCGGCCTTATGTGTTGGATTTAATCCCCCGGCGAGGTGTTGAGAGGATGAAAACTTCTTCTGACTGGGGTGTTGAGAGGAAGCCCTCAGGAGGTGGTCAGGGTTAGATATGGTCATCATGGAGCTCCCAGGACTGAGTTCGGCAGCTTCATAAGATGAGGAAGAGACCAGAGGACACACTGAGCTCCCCGTCTCTTGCCACCTGGTGTCCTATGCTGCCTGGAGACTCTGCCGGTGAGAAGGCCATTGCCAGATGCAGCACTTGGACCTTGGACCAGAACCATGAACTGAAGTGAACCTCTTGCTGCATAAAGTGGTTTTTCTCAGGCATTTAATTATAATATTGAAAAACAAACTATTCAATATATGCCATTTAATAAAAAAGTAATGTGAAGAAAAATGTGTAAGCATACTATGTTTGTTTAAAACAGAGGGGATGAAAATGTGACACACATCGGATGAATGTGTGTGTGTGTGTGTGTGTGTGTATCCTTATATTTTTAGCAATTCAAGAAGCAAATGTAAAACTTCAGTAATTATCATCTGGGAACAGGATGAAGATGAGAGAATCTGAGTCTGTTGGGGGAAGAAAACTTTTGGCAGATTTTACTTTGGAACCATGGAAATATTTTACATATAACAAAAGAAAATTAAAATTTAAAAGAATTCCCAACTATTGAGAACAAAATAAATCTAAGTATATGTGCAACTCGTGTTATAACCATACTAAGAGGAATAGTTTCAGCTGCCTTTAAGCTCAGTAACTTGTATACACAAAGCAGTGAGAAGGACAGAGGCACTTTCAGTAGCCATACTCCTGGTGAGAGTGTCAGTTCTGCTCCTGTGTTTCAGGGAGGAGAAAGCCATCCTGCTGGTGTTACTCAGAAGTGGGATTTCAGTGTCAGAGAAAGAAGTGAGTTGAGATGCAGGAGGTGCACCGGAAATGTGGTCCTGGACCGCAAGGGTGTGCTGCATCCACAGCAGGAGCTGAAGCCACAACCTTCTGACGGTGACAGTTGACACCCAAACGTGGCCTTGAAGTACCCTTTCCCTCCAGAATTGGCCCTGGGATGGCAGCTCCAGGTTACACTGGACATTCACAGACTGTACCACCATGAACTAGAAGGCTGGGAAGCCATCAAGGTTGCTAATGTCAACAAGGAGACCCAGCCCGAGGAACAGGGGAGGATCAGCTGAGCTCCTGGACACAAACACTCCAAATATTGCTATTTCAAAAACTGTCAAATAAAAGAGAACCTAGCATTTATCCCGCCAAGGCAGTTTGTCTTTGTAGTATTTTAGCAAATAAATGCAGAATGAATGATGGAATTAGAATATTTTGACCTCAACCAAGTTTCAACCTCAAGCAAGTACTGAATCTGGAATCATCCACTGCTCCTCATGATACAGAACACAACGAGCGGAAGTTGGTACCTCCTGGCAAAATGTCACAGAACCATCCATGGAGTAGTGTTGCCAAGGGGGAAAAATCCTAACTACCAATTTACAGAAATATCAGGCATGCAACCACCAAGGTGCAGACTGAAAAACTCTACAGGGAAAATGATCTGGTTTCTGTGGGGTGGGATAGTGGGGCAATTACATTCAGTGGAACCCTATCAATCAATGTGGTGTATGGATAGTATTACTTGTAGACTAATTCAAAGAAGGGAGGAGACAGGGTGGGATAACAGCAGAAATGGGAACAGCACCTGGGTATTTGATTAAAGAACCATTGCCATTTCTTAGTGCAAACATGGGATTGCAATTAAGTTTTTTTGACAAGATTTGCTATTTCTTAGGAACACATATTAGAGTATCAGCAGATGAAAGCCTGGGTGTCCTGGATTTGCTCTGCTGTGAGTTTGGAGGCAGGGCCAGTGGGTGAGAGGAGCCAGGTTCATCACACTCTTCCTCTATTTCTGTCTATATTTGAAATATTATGCAATAGTTTAAAACACAATCTTGAGTGAAGAAAGAACAGACTGGTGATTATGGTCAGATACTATTTCCATATATTTAGAAATACAAAATCATACAACGTGTGGATTACAGGAACACCCACAGTGGGCCAGAACAGAAACGGGAGGACAAGCCAACTGGGGTGGGGGCTGCCTGGAAGATGAGGCCATGGAACGGGAGCAAGCAGAGATGAACAGTGGCCTTTTGATTTCAAAGCAACTTTCAAGTTCAGAGGATGGTTCTAAGAATACTACACCAAGTGCAAGTCCTATAAACTTTTACTCAGGTCTCTCTCTATCTCTCTCTCTCTCTCAATTTATTTATTTAAGAACAATTTGAGAGCAGGTTGAACACAATATCTTTTTATCCCTTAATATCTCACCACATATTTTCCAAGAAAAAAAGTTTCTCTTACATAACCACAGCACTGTTTTCAAATTCAGGACTGGACGGAACTTCACAGTTCACTCCCAGCTTCTGAATTGCCCTGTGACGCCCTCACCAGTGCCTCCCCAGACAGAACAGGCCACACATTGCTTTGCTTGCCTCATCTCTTTAAGGTACTCACATCTGGCACAGTCCCCCGAGTGTCCTTTTTTTGACATGGCATGGATGTTTCTTAAGAACAGAGGGCACTTATTTCTAGAACATTCGTCACACTGAGTTTCTCTGGTGTTTCAACATAAGCAGATGCAGACCTTGAAGCCCCAACTGAAGGACGGAGTGATGGGGCCAATCTTTCTCAAGCATCAAGGCTGAAAGCACCATGGCTTGTGTCTCTGACACTGGTACTGCCCATCAGTCTTAGTGGCACCTACTTCTCTCTGGATAGACTGAGCTGCACTCACTTGGGAACTGCAGGGCCACCCTCCTTCTGGCACTGACTGCTGCTGCCCACGCTGATCTTTACCACAGTGGCTTTCACATTCACCCTCAGCCCTTTCCCAAGGAAGATGCTTGCCCAGGGATCAGTGTCAGAGGTAGATGGGAGATGAAACAGGGTGTTCAACCATGGTCAACACTGTTCTACGATGAGGCAAGCTAGGGTTGTATTTCTAATAACAGTGCTGAGTCTTAAATCTGTTTGAGATCCTGAGCACATGTTCTTCTGGAAGCTCCACGTGGTGAACTAGATTATCCTACAGTATCTGCTGACTGTGTCCCAACCCCACTCACCACCTCACTCTGAGGTGTCACCAGGTATCCCCAGGACCACAGGAACCTATCTCCCCTCCCTTCACCCAGCCCATCCACACCTCACAGACAGACCAACATCTGCCAACTCTACACCACCACAAATCCTGCCGACCTCAGCCTTGCCTTTTCCTACACAGTGACAGAGTTAGTGGCCACAGCACTACCAATGGCTGCCTCTCCTTGAGTGGTCCCAGAATACCCCAGGTGCTTCCCCTCTTGATACCTCACTGCATCGGGTCTTTGTCCATTCATCGGACCATGGGTATGGTCGTGTACCTCATCCTTCATATGTGCTTTGATTTGCACTGCATTTCTCTCACCAGCTGCAGATTCTGGAAGTCAAAGATCTTGAATAGGGTGGATTCCTATTATTGTAAACAATAATACACAGAGACCACTTGCAACTAGTCGGTGGTGGTGAACCTATGACATGCGTGCCTCCGCTGGCTGTTTCTTATCACTGAAAGTTCTAAAAGGTTTTCCATCACTGATCTAGTCTAGCAAATTTAAAATAAGTATTTTTCACTTAGTTGCACAATTTTTAACAACACTCCCTGCAGAGATTGTTTTGCTGGTGTTGAGGGCACTGGTTTTGACCACTGCTGACAGTGTAGTGATAGTAAGTGTACTGATTCCTCCATCTTGTTCCTCCATGGAGGGCTCCTGATGCACTGCACAAAGGTTGTCCTGCAATATACTGCACAAGACAGTGTAAACAGAGGTTCCTTTCTTTGGGCTGCCTGTCCTTTCCAGGCAACATTCCTTTCTGTTTCAAGTCAGAACTCAGATTTTCTGGTGTAGCTGATTTGGAACCCTGGTTCTATAACTAACAGTGTCCCCAGTCATTGTTCCCTAGACTCTGCACAGATAAGCCCACTTCAGCGATTTGCTGAACCATTCCTGGGTCTCACCATCTGCTCTGTACCCCAGGTTCAGAATGCCCAGCCTCTGGTGGACAACTGCATGCCACCCACTTTCTACCACCTCCATCTGAAGCTGAAGAAGCTTAAGGTAACTGCTCAGCTTCCCCTCACCCAAAGTCTTAGTCACCCACGTGTGTGCACATTAGAGAGCCCAAGGAGGAGGCATCTGGAGCCAGTGACGCAGTCCTGCATGTCTTCCACTGGCCTTCACACTGCTCCATCGTGTCTGAGACACAGGACAGCTGGTCACAGTAGCCACTTACACAGATCATTGCTTTAGATTGGAACATTTTTTGGCCACCTCAGAGCATTTATTTCTGAAGTTCAGGCCATTTTTGAGTGAGAACTGCATGGTTTTGCTCATAGCAATGTCTCCATGGCCAGGCAGCATCTGCCCCTCTGTGCCCTTATGGTAACAATGTCCAGTCAGCTGCACAGATGAGTCAGAATTGAGCAAACCAGCAGAGCAGCCAACACAAAAACCTAAAACGGAAAGCACATTCCTTCCCTGGGTTCAAACATCCTCTTCTCCTGCATAGTATGAAGTATGTTTCTCATCTTGCTTAAAATATGAAATAATCTCATCTGCATGATGGCTGCATGTCAGTTTTAGAGTAACCTAATTCTAGGAGACATTGCATCTTCTTGCTATTCCTATGGCTCCATCCTGGCACATCCCAGCCCATGGCTCCTGCCCAGCCTCTGTTGATAGCAGCAGATAGACGGGTGCAGGATCCACAGGTCCAAGTATATCGAAAGGAAGCTCCACTCCCTCAGGCTCCATCTGCCCACAGATGGAGGAGGAGCGGATTTCTACCATTGACAGGGACAACCGCCTGCTCCTGGAGAAGGTGGCTGCCATCATGAGGACCAGGGGACAGACTGACTGTCAAAATGATGCCATCTATGGGAGGTAAGAAAAAGGCTCCTGCCCCTTGCCAGGGTCCAGGGCAGGATGTGACAGAAGCAGATGAACTGAAGAGCAGAGAGACTCTCCCATCATCCAGGAATCCTGTGTCGGGGGTGCCTCCCACAGTGGCCTGAACCCATACCCTGCCTAACCCTATCCCTCTCCAATCCTAGTCCCCAGTCACTGTAAGAAAGGGTCCTCTCATCACAGCTGCTTTAAACTGGACCACATGGCTCTCTACCCTCAGAGCCACCCAGAGAGGTGGGGCTGTCACTCTTCTCTTTTCACAGATGGGGAAACTGAGACACACTGAAGAGGCAGAAGATGGCCAGTATTGCAACTAGACCATGGTAGTGCAAGGTGTGCATAAGCCACAAGCTCAGTGCAGTCCCCAAAGGTGTCAGTTTACCCAACAACACTGGCAAGTCCCTGCCAGGCACCTGGAGCTCTGCTCTTGGAAGAGCTGGCGAGGCAAAGCCTGTGGGCCTCTTCAGTCCACCCTGCAAACACCCAGCCCTGAGCCCTATCCCAGGCTCCTGGGGATTCACCATGTCTCTCTTTGTGCAGAAGCTTGTGGGGATGGCAGCCATTGCCCTGAAGGTCTGGTTCACGGATGTACTTGAGCCTTTTAAAGCCTTTAGTCTGTTCCTGTCTTAGAGTTGACGGTGGTTCTCAGATCACAATAAAGCAAAGCACAGTGGAGCCTCTGGCCCAGGGTGTGTGACACAGGAAGGAGGCAGGAAGTGCTGTGGGAGGGCATCAAGTGGAGCTCACACAGTCCTGTTGTTGAGTTTATCAGAGTGCCCAAGAAGAGCCATCAGCTTCAGGTCTCAGAGATGGTCCCTGAGGGGCTCAGGGCCGTGGTGGGGGGTTAGGAATGAGTTCCCTGATTCTGGCTACACCGGACAGCTGGAATCACTTTCTGTTGTGAAGTCGGATATCTTGCCCTGAGTATAAAATCACTGCTCAGTGGTGTTTGCCTTAAATCTGTAACCCAGTGGCCCAGGGTCATGGTGAACCATGGGCAGTGGGGTAGGAGGGTTCCCAAATGGGAAGTCTGCAGGCTATGGCCTGGGAAGTGCAGGCCCTTCATATCTGGATGTGAGTTCACACATTAAGGGCTCCCCTTGAAGGCGTGGGACTGCTCTCCACAGGAGAAGCAGACAGGTCATTCTGGATGGACAGAGAGAGGACTGACCTGGGGAAATCACTGGTCACTTTAGCCAAAGTAAGACCACAGGCCCAAGGTTGGCCCATGTCCTTGACACTAGCTGGTCCCACACTGGGAGCATTCCTCCCAGAATATGGAGTATGGGCTTCCACATTACAGACGCCTTCTTACCACCTGGTTGGATTGTGAAGCAGCCAGACTCTCCAACTCCCTTCAGGTATACACCTTGCAGCTCCAGGCACAAGCCCAAATGTGGTGGCCCCATGGTCCCAAGTCAGAGTGTCCAGCTCCATTGGACCTGGTGTGTCGACAACAAGTGACTCCAAGCAGTCTCATTGAGTGGTGTGTCCCCATGGTGGGTTAGAGGAGCCCCCGTGAGGACAGACATTGGCAACGCTTGTCAAGAAAGCATCCGTGTGGTGTGTACTGTTTCTGGTCTCCACCAAATCTCTAGTAAGGGACCAAGTAAGTACATGATGCTGAAGAGACACAGTCCATAGATATAAGCCCTAGTTGAAGAAAGGGAATAATGGAATGTGGCCTTGGGGACTATACCTTGTCTCCATTCCTTTCTTCTCTGGATCCTGTCTCTTTCTACTTCTGGCTGCCTCTAGGTGAGCAGCCTCCTCTACACACTGCCACCACCATGATGCTCTGCCTTGCCTCCAGCCCCAAGTAATGAACCCAGCAGACCATGGAGTGAAAACTCTGAATCCATGAGCCAAAGTAAGCCTTTCTTTTCTGAAGTTGTTTATGTCAGGTGTTTTATCACAGTGATGGGAAGCTGGCTAACACAGATGCCAAGACTACTCAATGTAGAAGAATCATTTTTTTCAACAAATGGTACTCAGATACCCGGATGTCCACATGCAAAAGATGGCATGACCCTTTGTCTCCTACCATATAGGAAATCAACTTGAAAAGGATCACAGACATCAGTAAAATACTTCTAGGAAAACAGAAGTCAATTGCCATGCCCTCGGATTTTGCAATGAATTCTTAGCTGTTACACTAAAATCAAGGGCAATAAGAAAAAACAGATAAATCAGACTATCAAAATTGAAATTTTTGTGCTCCAAAAGACACCATCAAGGAAGTAAAAAAAAAGAAATTCTCAAAAGGGAAGAAAACATCTGCAAACTATATATCAGACAAGGAATTATATCTAGAATATATAAAGAGCTCACAGTGTTCACTGCAAAAAAGACAATTCAGTTAAAAGATGAGCAAAGGATCTGAGTAGGCTACTCTTTAAGGAAGGTTCACAAATGATAAGAGCATGAAAAAATGCTTGACTTCATTAGTCATCAGGAAAATGCAAGTCAAAACCATACAGAGAGCTCTGGTTCTTGTTTTGAACCTATTAAGTTGGCCATAATCAAAAGCAGACAGATAATACTGAATATTAGCAAGAATGTGAAGAAATCAGAACCTGGTGGTAGGAAGGGAACATGGTGCAGCCCCTTTGGAAGGCAGTGTGGCCATTCCTCAAGTGACTATATCTAGACTCACTGTAGGACCTGTGAATTCCACACCCAGGTAAATGCCAAAAGAAAGGAAAACACATGTCCATGTAAACGCCTCTATGTCAATTTTCACAGCAGCAGTAACCATAACAGCAAAGTTGGAAGTAGTCCAATGCCTATCAATTGATGAAATGATAAAGCGTGGCTAACCAATACCAGAATACTGTCCAGACATGGGCAGACATGAAGCTGATGGCACCGTCACACAGATAGACCCTCAAAACGTGCTGCCTGGTGCTGGAGACAGGCACAGGAGCCCACAAGTAGCCTGATTCCATGTGAGACAGATTCGATGGGAAAGCCTATAGCAACATAAAGTAGGTAGGGATATGGGGGCAATGGTTGATAATTCACAGGTATGAGGCTTCTTTCCTTTTCTTTTCTTTTTTGTTGTTTGGTACAGAGGACTGATCCCAGTGCTCTACCACTGAGATCCATTCCCTGTCCCTGTCACTTTTTTTCTTTTGAAACAGTTTCACTAAGTTTCCCAGGCTGGCCTCGAACTTGCAATCCCCCTGCCTCAGCCTCCTGTGGAGCCATGATTATAGGTGTCACAGTATGTTTGTGCATACTGACACACAGAACTGTACACTTTGGATGGCTGCACTGTATGGTGTGCAGACTATATCTTGGTGAAGCTGGCTTAAGTAGCATGAGTAACATAAAGCACCTCACTACCTCTAGGCCTTCTAAGGCTCACAGCTCATTCACCAACCTGCTGCAAGTGTCATTGTGCAAGGTCTTCAGATCCAGTCCTGCCTTGCAGCCAAGTCGGGGCCAGTGTGCATGGCATCTCCTGACTACAATGTGTAAAGTGTGGGACCCTGGAGTCGCTCCTGTCTTAAGAGGATGGACCCTTGAGTACCAAATAAAGGAGCCTGCTCAGGTCCAGTGTCCCCGAGGAGACAAAGAACAACAGAAAGTGAGCCTGGTTCAGACTGCAGCAGCACAGCAGCCATGTCCTTGGCCAGAACCTGGCCAGAGCGAGGGATGTCTTGCCCTGAGTTGCAGTTCCTCAATCCGTGGAGCCTGGTGGATGGGCTTAGCAGCATGTCCTGGAGCAGAACCTTGGTCATCCATTGGGCAGTGCTGATTGCAAGATACATGAAGGGCTGAGGTATGGAACTACAGCTGCAGCTCCAAGCCACAGCCATGCCTGGGCTGCTTGCTGTCCTCTGGCCAAATAGGCGTCACTCCCCAAGGACCAGGTGGTCACTCTGAATCCCAACCTGGCACTAGAACTCAGGTATAAAAGCATCCCAGACTCCTCCCGTAAGAAAGGAGATTGGTCAGAAACCAAGGAGAGGCTCAGAAAACAGAGATCTGAGATCAACAGTCATCTCAATGTTCTGTGAGAGCTGGGCTAGAGCCGAGAGCCAGGTCCCTCAAGAAGATGCAGGCTCATTGCTTCTCCCTCTGACTGGGGCCTGTGGCTGGGTGGCCCTCTGCACCTTGGTTTTCTCATCTGCAAGATGGCTCCCCTGTACCCTTCTTGCAGGCTGGTCATGGAGAGATAGTTAATATATTCAGATGCTCAGGCAGTCCACAGAATGCAGTAATCCAGATCTGCTAGCATTGCAATTAGCAGCTTCATATTTCAAACATGAGGTTTCCTAAGGGGAGTTGGCACAGTTTTTCCTGCCAAAGCCTTATTTGGAAAAATGGGACCCCTCTGAAAGCCACATATTCAGTGAACAGAAAAAAAGGCATGATTTCAAGGTAAACAATTATACTGAAGTATCCCACCAAAATAACTTTTTAATGATGATAAAATGATATATGTGCCTCCTGGTCAACATATTAAATGATAGGACCTGGAAACAGGTAGAGCAGCTATCATAATATCAAACAAGTCATGAATATAAACTATATCTCAAAAAATATGCAACCAATGTAACAGCTGAGATGCTGCAGGTATATTCAAAATGAATAGGGCCACAGACTTAGCTCAGTGGAACTGCGCTTGCCTCACAAGTGCTAGATCCTGAGTTTAATTCCTGGTACCAAAAAAAAGGAAAAAGAAAACAAAATGAATCATAGGTCCACAATCACACACAAACTACCTCACCCTTCAGGAAATTTCTTTTTCAGTGCTGGAGATGGAACCAGGCCCTTGTGATTCTAGGAAAGTGCCCTACCTTTGAGCTACACCTCTAGCCTGGGGAATTTAAACACGACTCAAGGGGTTTTTTAAAAAATTCTACCTCTAGGTAGAACCTGATGAATGAAAATCATGGAAGGAGGACAAGTGAAGCCATCCTCCAGCTGCCCAGCAGACAGAAATGTAAGGTTGTCCACAAGCAAGGGGTGACACACTGTCCTTGTGTTGCCCCAAGTGTGCAGCCAGACTCAGACCTATGGTGCACACATCCCCCGGTCTGTACCCAGCAGGTGTGGCCTGACCCTGCGAACCCTCAAGCAGTCAAGGATCAAAAAGGAAGCAGAGATGTAATTGGGCCAGAGCAGGTGTCTGCAAGGAAGCCCAGGCCACGTGACAGTGCTGGCCTTCGCCAACCACATGACACACTGCCTTCTGTGTAACACTCCTCTGTGTCAGGCCCCTCATGACACCTGAGTGGGTCTGGAATTTTCCAGGCTATCAATCTGTGACAGCTCTCAGCCCAGCACTTGGGCCCTGAGCCCCGCACCAGGCATGCTCCTGGCCCTTCCCACAGCACACATCCTGGCTCACATCCGGGACTGCTACTTGCCAGCCTGTTCTCTGTCTGTCGTCCCAACACACCTCGGGGATGGAGGCTTCTTTTGTTGTGTTTGCCACTGAAGACCCGGGCCCAGCGCAGCGGGATATAGTGGTGCTCAGCAAATATTTGTTGAATGACTGAAAAACTAAAGTGGCTTTCATTTGCAGAATTCATCAAACTGTTTTGTTTTAAAAAATAATTTTCTTGATTATAATGTAATATGCATTCATATAGTACAAAAAAATAAAAATTACTCATTGTACAGA